AGCCAAAAGTTTTTTCCTTACCATCGTACCGGTTGCTGCTTGCCGCGCTCTTCTCTGCTGCAGTAACTCCTTAACTGTGATCTTTACTCTAACACCTTGATACACCTTGGGCTTTCCTGAAAGAACGAGCAGAAAGGCACTTCACAGCGTGGGAGACATTGAGCGTGTAAAGCGAAGCCCGCGCGTTCTCGGGCGCTTTACGTCGAGTCTGTTTAGAGTTAACAGATGATTAACTGGTCACTGTAAGTCACTTCTCATCACAGTTCATAGCTGCTTTAACACTTGCTATCCAAGCCTGCGACAAGCATGATAGATGTTAAGCCTGACATTTATGAAAAAGTTGGTGATGATTATATCCATTAATCATTTATGTTTTATTCTTTATTCTCTTTATTTTCCCTCCAGCTGTCCTAATACCCAGTTCCATCTGGTGCTTCTGCTAAATTCACTTAAATTCCTGTCCTATTTGCCAGTCTTAGGAGCAGAAAATAGATGAGGGAACCACTTCATCTGGCAGACGAAGAGCAGGAATAACACGATGCAAATATGCAGGGTGGTTATTCAGAAGACTAAACAAAACACAAATAAAGTGACTGCTTTCATGAATCACTTTCTGCAAAGCCTAGATTATCTCTTCATTTTGCCCATTCTGTACAGCTCCCATTTGTTTCAAACAAGCATTTAGGATGTCTTTAATCCAGCCAATAACAATCACCAGCCACTACCTGATGAGTGACTTAGTACAGGAAACGAGAAAGAATTTGCCTAGTCTGACAAACCACTTTCACTTGCTGAGCTCTTGCTAAAATAGTTAAAGCCTCCTGCAATTCCATTTTTATCCAAACTTTCTGTTGTTTTCACCCAGTACCTGATCCTACAGACACTAGTGAGGTCTCCTAGTCTTCCTGCTCTCGCTGCCCGCGAGGGAGCAGGTGGCGCTGGCTCGGGGGGCCGGCCTGCCAGCCAGCTCACTGGGGAAATCCCTCGCGCTAGGCAAGGTCCTCTTCTGCTGTAACCCTGCTCCATCGCTGACTGCTGCCTGGCATCTCCCGCTCCTGCTCGACCACCACCGAGCCTGCCTGCTGCCACCTTGGTGCAGCGGTTGAGGGGATGCTAAGGGGCTGCCAGATCCCTCCGGAAAAGTGGCAGGCAGAGTTGGCAGTGCCTTGCGGGGGGCTTTGCTGAGCTGTGCTGTCAGCAGCTGGGCATTATTCATCTCAATTGTTCATTATTCATCTCAATTGTTATGTTTTGTATATAATCAATAAACTGAAAATGGGGGAATTGAGTGTCCCTGGACATGAGGGGAGGGAAAGGTTGAATTTAAGGAGACCCCCCACACACACCCTGTTCCCAGCCCCTCCTATAGCCAGGGCCCTGAGCTAGCAGCCCCTTCTGCACGTTTGGCTGCAAACCACCCTGTAACTCTTGTCTTCTTGGGGAGCTGGACAGGGCTCGGGTCTCCACTACTAGCATCTTAAACACAACCTAGCAGGTGAGATATGGACACATCTACAACTCAGGGGCTGCCTGGCAGACAACCCCCCCCCCCAATGGCAGAGCATCCTGCTTCCTAGCTCAGAGGAGGCCCAAGGATGACCAGCAGGCAGCCAAGGCATTGAGACCAGGGCTCCTACTGCCAGCCCTCCGGAGCGGGGCAGGCGGAGGGGTGGGATTGCAACAAGTGGGCTGGGGGTCAGGGAGCAGGATGATGATGGGCACGGTGGAGGTCAGAGAGCGGGGTGGTGATGGGCACGGTGAGGGTCAG